AACTTCTGTATCAACTTTGACATCAAGAACCCCACCTTTGAAATAAGAGAGAACTGAAACCAGCATTTAAAGAGCCTGTGATCTTTCTCCCAAGTGTCCTGTTTAATATACAGAAAGCTTTGCAAGCTATTCATATTTGACATGAAACTCAGGAAATTCTTGACTTAATTCCTATGCTAACCACAAAGTTACTGCACGTTGTCATAGCAACAGGCATCAGTTGAAACTTCATGATGATACTAAACAAATCTTTGCTCTGATATAAAATGAAATGCAATTTTATTTTATTAGATGTTTGTCACATCAAATGTAATGGCAATAGAATTATGTGTCAAGAAGTTCTAGCCAGTGACAATAAATAAAAGTCAACCTGATGCGAAATTCTTGTGCTGATGTCACCAAACAGCATTATAAATAAATACAGCTACTTAGCAGTCTGTTATCTGGAAAAGCAAAAGCATACAAAGCCCAAGCAAGATGTAAACAATTGCAAAGCATCACTTAGAGTACACGTGGCTAAAATGTAAAAATATTGGTTAGTGAGTATGAAAGTTCCATGTCTCATTTGAGGTGAAAGTGGCTACCACAGTAGAAAGTAACAATACCATATAGGTAATTCTGAACTTTGTTACAGCTACCATACTCCATGCAAAGCTGACCAGAAATCCGTACTTTGTACCCTGTAGTTACTTTTTCTTCAAGAACTTACGAAAACAAAAAGAAAACAAAAACCCCACACCAACCACACTTGTCTATAAGGTACCATACATCCAATTCTTCATCGCAGATACTTTGTACCTGGAATAATGAGGTGGCAGTGAAGTGTCTGTACAGGTAAATACAAGTCATAGTTACAATATCACCATCCCCTTGCTTGCTAGATCACATAGGAATGAACTGCAAGGAGGACAATGTGGGAGAGAATAACTGCAAAACCTCTGCAACACTGATCTCACAGTAACACCCACGAGCAGTCGCACAGCTACTCCGTATCACTAATGTCCAAAGCTGGAGGCTGAACAGAATAGGAAGAAAAACATCCTTAAATGTTGCTCCATCAAATGTTGTAGAACAAATTAACTAGTAAAATAAATTATACAGTTGATTTTGCTACTAATTCAGTGAAATCAAAGACCATGATCATAATAAAATGTGTAATCATGGCCAAAACTCCTGCACAGTGAAGTTCATTTTGCTCCTTTTTAAAAAAAAAAAAAATAGTAATCTTCAATATTTGTATTTGTCTGCATATGCACTGTAGCAGCATTTTCTAACTACTAAAAAGACAATTAACCCTATCCTAGCAAAAACCAGGACACGAGGACTGAGAGATACAGAAGTCAGACTGGGGTACGCTGGGATTCAGGGATGCAGGAATCTGGGGTGCACAGTGTGTCAGAGTGCAGAGGGAGCAGGGTGCATGGCACCCCTTAACTGTAAATCTGTTTCATCTCTTGCTGGGGACAACCTCCATAGCCATTCACACCTGTGTTTGGTGCACTGCGTTTTCTGCAGTCTGATCAACAGCTAACATTTAATTATAAAATAATTTGTTTTTTCTGTATGACTCATACAATCGATATAAGAACAAACTTAGTTGTAAATAATTTCTGTCAGGCCTTACCATAGCTATATACATCCACATTTTTTTCTCTTTCATGAATCAGACTATTAGAATAACATTACATAAATTATCTGAACCACTGACTCATGCAAACAAAACTAATTCTGTTGCTCCTACAGAAAATATGGCTTTAATATTCAGCATTCAATCTCTTTTTGCTCTTTGAAGTGATAGTTAATACCACTAAATTATCTGTACTTTGGCTACACACCACTTCCTATAATTATTGAATAATTATCAACCACATTTATACTATGAAATGTAATGGTATCCAAGGATCTTCTATACAAAAGCGATGAGCAATAATGAAGGTTCCATGGGAGAAGGTTATGCTAGAGATCATCATGTGGAAAACATTTTTACATCAGCTGACAAGATACAGAATCATAAACAAGGCCCTGAAAATACAAGTAGCATAATAATTGTGTCCTGCTATGTTTCACAGAGTTTTTATCAAGCTACTTTGAAAAACTGCTGAGTCTCATCTCCTTGACTCCATGCACTGAAATGAGCTCTATTTCACTGGCTGCAAATACTTTCGAGCAACTGATGGATGATCTGTAAACTAACTTCTATAATGACAACTTAAGAACAAAAAAAAAAGAGAAAGTTTCCTGCATGTTTTGTTTTCTGCATATAAAAATATCAAGTGATAGCCCGGGATAGCATGTTCTGTAAACTACAAAAATACAGAGACTAATGTGAAAAAAATTGTTGGACAATAACTTGCCTGACTTGCAAACACACTTGTCCAAACCTTACAAGGAAACTGGACATTGCATGTGCAAAAAGGCACCATGGGCACACAATTTGTAGTAAGGACTAAGCAAACAGGAAAGACACATCATACACAGAAAAGCCTGAACTCTAGTAGTACAGGAACACCTAGTGAAATGGCCTGAAATATACCAACACCACAATAACCAGAAAAAAAAGAAAGAAAATAAGTAGGTGGGATCACAAAACAAACCCCAAAGGACTGATTTCCAGCACCAGAAAGGAAAGGCCTCTGGGATTCACAAGAACACTCGAACATTGTCCTCCCCAAACACCAGGGCTGTGTAGAGGGACAATTCCACTACCAAAGAACAGCCGGAGTAATGCAAGCTCCCCATACCTTGCCAGCATTCTCCCTCTGGGTCCTTTACTGAACTAAGGTCCCCATCTGCTTTACAGCTGCCACTGAAGTCACAGCTAAACCTTAACAGCCTTTTTGTTTTCTGTAATGAAGCTGTATCTATACTATGGTGTATCTGGAAATCACAATCATTTTAAATATCTGCAGTCTGCACAGCTGTGAATATGCTCACAACAGCAAAGCTGGCACAGCAGTCACTTAGGGGTGAATTTTAAAGTGTTGCCCACCAATTAATGAGAATGTGATCACTGCAGCCAAAGTGTCACTTTACTCAAACCAGCACTGGCACTCACAGCCTAGGCACAGGCTTACTGTAAAATGGGTTTCCCAGTTCTTTGATGCCATCTGCTGGATGCTGCTCATTATGGGTTAAACTCCATCACTAGCTCGGTTTTCACCTGGAAAAAAGAAGTCTTTTACATTTTCTTGGTTTATACAGACAAGTGCACTGGATAGTTTACTTTAACATACCAAATGAATGGTTTGTCTGTTCAGAAAATACTCAAGATACCAGAACCTCCTAAGACTGTAACCCTGTTCTCACAGCTTTGGACTCAGAGCTATATCTAATAAAGCAAGTTAAGGCAGAGCCGAGTCACTTAACTCCACAATACTCGTATCAGCTGCTATCAAATAACTGGCCACCTTCTTCTTCCTTGAGTGCCTAAAATAACAGCTGTGGGTCAACCCAGAACTGCTCTAAGTAGTTTGGTGCCAAACACCTTCCTGAAACAGAAAACTCTATTGAGGGTTCAGAAATTATGTAAAGGAACACCAATATCTCCTTGACGACCCAACACACTCGATTTGCTACCAGCACTGGCTGACAGATAGCACAGCAGAGTTGCCATGGCTACCATATCCACAGTTTACCTAAGAGCTGAAGTAAGGAAAAACCTGAACTCTCTCCCAAGGCATAGGCTTGAATTAAAACTACAATCAGTTAGAAAACAAGGTTAAAAATCAATAATGTTATAGCCAGGGTATTTATACACGTGTCCAGCAGCAGAAGCATACAAACTACTGGAATCCTATCAAAAAGAAACTTGGGAAATGCCAGGGCTAGAAAAAACATTAGCAGAGCTTTTGAGACTTACAGCCATCAGTTGATATGCACTGGATATAATACAAGTGCTTATGTTGAGGTATTAGATCTTCACTGTCGAAGACAGTCTTCTCTCATGGCTATGTTAAACCTACACACAACATTAATAATCTTATGTAAACAGTTATTTAAGTTACAATGCTGTAATTCTCACTGGTGAGATCCAGCTCAGGTGTAATGAAGATCAAGTTCAACATTACTACCTGTTAAAACTACTCCAATAATAGAGAAACCAAGTGGGATTTTTTATTCCTCCACATTCACACTGTTTGGAGAGAAGTTACACAATTGACACATCATAGGTAGGTATCAATCACTTTATAAAAATATACTCATCTCATTTTCTGATTATTTATATTAAGAACAATGACTGTACATTAATATTTGGCCAACTCAATCTCTGAGCACATAGTTTTGGAAAATAGCTTAAAAAGATGATTTAAGTATACTGAGATTTAATTTTTAAAAACAAAGTCATAATGAGCAGGTATTTCTATGGAACGATTCATTAATGAAAGCAGGCAAAAGTCCAAAAGCAGAATTACAGTGAGACAGTACATGATTTTTTTAAGGATGTAAGGAGTCAGCAAATTAAGACATTTAAAAACTACATTCAACTCCACATAGCAGTAGAGCCATAGTTCCAGGGACTGATGCTGACATAGTAACATCACCTATAAACAGTTCTGACATTAATTTGGTATAAACATGGATTTAGAAAGTGACTGTTCTGAAAAATTACAAGAGGACTCGCCATTCTGACTTACAGCATCTTTTGTGATTCCCAAATACAAAGTAGTAAATCACTGAATATGTGAATCCCAAAGCTTTTCTTCAATACCCATGCGAGGTTTAAAGAGCTCTCCTTCCTCCCCTGGCAACTAGTTGCCATGCTGTGCACTGAGCTAACAGTGTTTATGCTGTCTGAGCTAAGACTGAAAGACAAAGGATAGTATTTAGTATTTTCAGGAGGACTGCTAAAAACTACTAAATAGCATTACAGCTGAACCATGCCCTATATATTACAGGGAAATTTTTATCAAACAGTCATTACAGTGCAAATCAGAAATTCCCCATTTCTATTGTTTTTACATGTAAGTATTTTTGTGAGCAGAAAACAAGACTAAGGAAACTACAATACGTGCCTGACTTTATTACTTTAATAAGCAATGCAAAGATTCCAATCTTGATGCTTTACCCACAGTATGAAGCTCATGTTTTCCTGAACAAATAAATAACTGCAATAACCAAAATAAGAATGTTCTCATTAAATAGATGGAACCCAAGACAGGAAAGTAAAAAAAAAAAAAGAAAAGCAATTGGAACAATGTTATCAAAATATTTAATAAAACAGGGAAAAGTTGTATGGTTTATTTAGAACACGTTTAACTGTCCTCAGCCTCAAGATTTATGTTATTTCCAAACTTTGCATAGAGCTGAACTTTCAGGTCAGATAACACCCTTTGAATTGATTCCACTCGGGACTCTAACGCTTCAATTTCTTCTTGTAAACTTTTCTGAAAAAGGGAAAAAAAATAAACTAGTTACATAAAACTGAGTCATGTTTGTCAGCAACATACAAACAACAAAGAGGTATCCATTTGCCAACTTTTTGCCAAGTCAGGCTGCAAGACTCATCACAGGGCCAAAGGCCAGCATGACTTTGTATACTGACACCCCAGTTATGACTTACTGTGCGTGCACATCCCCCTCCTCAAATCCTAAATCAAAGATGGACTTTAGAAAGTTCAAAGGATGAACAGTTCATCCCATTCCAGTGCTCATCACACTACAGTAGCCAGTGCAGTAAAAGAGCTCCCTCTTGCCCAGACAAACCTTTGCCTCCTCCAGCATCTCTTGTGTCTCTTCTTGGGAATGACTAATGAAGACATCTCCAATTTGGTAGGGTATCAGAAGTGAATCACTATCATCAAGCATCATGATGTCATCACAAGCATCTTCCAAATTCTGAAGTTGTTTCTATTTATCAAGACATAAGACAGGTGATGACTTTGTAGTAGGTAAATTATCTCGATGGATGCACTGTCATGCTATCAGTTGAATAATAAACTCAGTGAGTCCGCACTCTGGGCAAAAATCCTGCCCACCTGCATGGTATCAACACGTTTAATAGAACACTTCCAGAGAGGTAATTCAGCTTAAGTATTAAATTCAATGAAGCTGTATCAGTAGAAATTTCTAGTCAATACTCATTATCTCTCATTAATAGCACAATTAACTGTCTAAACAAGGGAAATATAGCAGATTTATATTTCACTAATATATGATATGCTGTTACACAGGAATTTTTTAATTTAGCAAGAGAACAGAAACAATAAATAAGATGGCAAATGTCAACATAAAAAGGCAAATTTAAACATAAAAAGGTAATATTTTACAATATACATATCAGGTAAAGTAATTATAGAAGAAAATTTGTGACAGTACTAGCATTTTTTAAAATCTTGGTAAAACTTTAGAAATACTATGACTGATACTGAAAGTAAATGAATTAATATTAAAAAAAGAAAATCAGAATTATAGATTAGAATTACATATAGATTTATCCTATTCAGCCTAGCAAATGAAAACCTCTGCACTGATAATGACAATCTCTGTCAACACATGGAAAGAACGTAATAAACAACTGCCTCACTGGTTCAAGAAAAAATAAATATGAACAATCTCAGGCAGGAAATTTTAAGAACACTACAAATAGACATAATATAGAAACAGTGCTTCACATATGACAACTAAGGAGTTATAACAACTGCATGCAGAAATATACTAGTGACCTTTATTTCTCATGACTTCTCTTGTTTTTCCACTTTCACATTCTCTGGCTATTTTCGAAGTATCAGAAATCCCATATTAGAACCAAAGCATTACTTACAGTAATCTGCAGCCCCTATTTTCTGTGTTACAGCTGAAAATCAATTCAGGGCAATGAAGAATAAGTGACATTTGAAGCAAATATACCTTTTTCACTTCTATCTCCTCTTTCAGCTCTGTGATCCTGCTAGTATTTCTTGCAAACTTGTTAATTTTCTGTTGATCTTCAAAAGTAACATTGACATCTTCTGCAGCCTGCAAGGAAGAGAGATCAAAATGAAGACTTCATTTCCTACATTAACTTGAATCTCACTACAAGATTACTCCTACAAAGCTTCTAAAAAACAGTCTTACAGCCACTATGTTCTGCTTATAGACTTGATTCCTTAAAACACCTCAATGACATCAGTAATACTCACTTTCTGCTTAAACTTGAGAGGAAACTTCTTCACAGTGAGGGTGACGGCGCACTGGAACAGGCTGCCCAGGAAGGTTGTGGAGTCTCCTTCTCTGGAGACATTCAAAACCCACCCGGACACCTTCCTGTGTGATCTCATTTAGGTTCCTGCTGCGGCAGGTGGATGGGACTGGATGATCTTTTGAGGTCCCTTCCAATCCCCAACATTCTGTGATTCTGTGTGTGATTTAGCTGGGCAGAGCTAGTAACACCCTGGTAAAAGACCAGCTACCCATGGCACCCTAATGCCAAAGGCTGTTCCCTGGCAGAACTGACAGCTCAACCTGACACCGCTGCTCCAGGGTCACTGCGGGGTACAGCCCACCACGAGCGGTCAGCGGCATCACCTCGCACGCCCCGTTTAGCTGCGAAGGGCCATAGTGCCACAGGGCCTAACGCGGAGCTGGCCTGACCCGGCAGCGGCCTATGCCGAGGGACTGCCCCGCTCCGGCCCCGCACAGGGCTGCGTGAGCCGGGGCCGGCGCTCAGG